GCGCCCTGCGGTCAGCCGGCGCCGGGCTCCGGGTCTCCGCTCGGTTCCTGCCCGCGGCTGGTAAACAAGGTAGGTCGAGGTGGCAGCCGGGCTCCCGGCGCGCAGGGAGCTGACACTTGATCCTGCCCGGGCTGGCCCTCCAAAGGCCGGAGGAGTGGACTGCGGCTGCTCCAGAGCGGGGCCGGCGGGGTTTGGGTGCTGTGTGCTCGATTTTAGGTGCCATCCAGGTGGCTTCTGGAGAGGCCCCGACAGCAGGCGGACAGGGAAGGAGTCCCTGAATCTGGGCCCACTCCCCGCCTCGCTGTCCCCCTGGGGAGCTGTCAACCCCAGCTCTCCTTTCTGGGTCATGTCCCCTGGTGCCTCCAATGTTAAGAAGTGAGTGGCAGTTTTGATTATGGGTTGGGGCTGGGTCGTCTGGGTTGTCAGGGCTGGAGAGCTGCCCTTGACCCTTTCCCAGGTTGGGCTTGGGCAGGTCTTCCTGGAAGTGTCAGGGGAGAGAGGTGTCTTCAGGCGAGATGCCTTCAGGTGTTTGCCGTTTGTTGTTCTTGACCTACAGGGAAAGGGGTTTAGATCACCAGCCCATCTGAGCTAGCAGTATCCCTCACGGCCATCAGGTCCAAGCCCATCCATGTAAAGAAGGGGAAACTGAGACTCAGAGAGGGCACCCAATAAACTCCTCTTCAGTTCCCTCTCTCCCACCACATTTGTGCCATCAGTGGCAGCTACAATGATGCCCTCCAAGGCCTCTCTGTAGGGGACAGTGAGGCTGGAATGATCCGGGGGACCACCAGGGAAAGCTTGGGCTTTGGGGTGAGGTAGCCCCAGTTGGAAGGAAGTGGAGATGGGCCCTACCCCACGAGATTGTCCTAAGGATTACAAATGGAATAGGAACAAGTATTTTTCTGGTTAAAAAAAAACAAAAAATACCCCAAAACAAAAGAAAACATGTGCCCTTGAAAAGCTAAAAAATAAAACCCGAAAACCCAAAACAAAGTATAAGAAATAAAAGCCCTAACCAGGTGGCTCAGTTGCTTGGAGCATTCGTGGTCCGTACACTGAAAGGTTGCAGGCTCAATTCCGGGTCAGGGCACATACCTAGGGTGTAGGTTTGATCCCGGTTGGGGCCCTTATGGGAGGCAGCCAACCGATGTTTCTCTCTCCCTCTCTCTTCCTTTCCCTCTCTCTCTGAAAATCAATGAAAACATATCCTTGGGTGAGGATTTAAAAAGAAAGGAAAATAAAAATCACCTCCAGGCATACCGTGGAGATGTTGTGGGCTTGGTTACAGACCCCCGCAACAAAGGGTATATCACAATAAAGTGAGCTATTATCTTTTTGCTGGTGGTGGGTCTTGCCTTCAATTTGTAAAAAACACAGTATCTGTGGCGCACAATAAAACGGTGCCGGTGTGAGCCTGTCACTAAGCATTTCATATAGTTACAGTCTTGTGTGTGCATGTGTGTGTACATGTGCATATAGGTCTGTCAAATGAGTACTATGAGGATTATATGACTGTACACTCTTTTATCCACTTTAAAAACTGGAGGCAAAGGTCAAATGAAATCCTGTGTGTAAAGTGCTAAGCATAGTGCCTGCCACTGGGTAGCGTCTCGGCCAACTTGGTGCCCCTCAGCCCCCACCTTTCTTGGTACCTGGCACTGTGTGAGCACTCTCTGTGTGTCACCCATTTTGTCTTTACCACAGAACTGTGAGTTTGGCTCCTTATCCCCATTTGCCTGACAAGGAAACTGAGGATCAAGGAGGGCATTAAGACCTAGAAAGCACTTGGCCCATGGCTGGCACTCAGGATGTCATCACAGCCCAGGGTGGTGGCTCTGCTGGTTGCCCTGTGAGGCAAGCCCCTCCCACCTTGTTGGGCCCCACAGGCTGTGGTGGGGAGTTGAGGTGGGGTGGATGGGTGTTGATACCACAATCAGTCCTCTCCCCCATCTGGGGAGGGAGGCAGTGTGTCAGAGGCACAAGGGATGCGCTTTAGCTGGTCTTGAATATGCCTTTGCAGGCCCCAGGGACCAGGCCACCCAGTGTGGGGTTGGCTTAATGAAGGCAGGGGAGAAATTGCCACCTAGAGGCAGCCAGGGTAATAAAGCCATGGCCCTCTGACTATTAGCACAGCCAGTTGGCATCGCTTCCTTCGGCTATTCTCTGCAGATGGTGCTCTTTAGCAAGCATGAGCTCCAAAGCCACCATGGAGGGAGGGGAGCACTGCAGGGTCTTAGGTGCTCTCCTGTAGAGTAGAGAATCTTGGAGCAGCTTTCGGTAAGAAAGGAGCCCTTGTCCAGTGCCAGGTTTCCCTCCGTGCAGGGCAGGCGTGTGGGAGCATGTGTGTCTTGCCCTCATTGTGTCTGGGTTGGCTGGAGCGTGTGCAAGCCAAACGCAGCCGAGGCCTTGCCCAGTGGTCCATGACCGGCAGTCAGAGTCTCACCTGTCCTTTCTGTCCTGGGACAGGGCGTGGAAAAGAGACCTCGGCTGGCGGTGATGAGGACTCTGGTGTCCGAAGTGCAGCTCGCCCAGCCCTAGCTCAGTGCCGAGCCCTCAGCGTGGACTGTGCTGGCCCCGGGAGCCCCCGCAGGCTCTACCTGAGCGTGCAGGTAAGCACTGGGGCTTCCAAAACACGAGGGGTCCAGCCAGGCCGGTGTGCTCAGCCCTCTGAGCTGCAGCGGCTTCTCAGGGGAAAGGAGCTCTGAGGGAGAGCTGGGGACCTGCCTTGTGCCTCTTTGCCAAGCTGCTCACTTCACATCCGCCTGCGAGTCTGTGTAGATGGAGCAATTTGCTTTGTTAGGTTATCTCGGGGAAAGTATCAGGAGATGACTGAAGCTTTTCAGCCACACCCTGGCTGAGGTGTTAAAGTGGGAAATGTGGGGCCTTCTCTGAAGCTATTAGGAAGACAGGCAGGTTTTAGGGAAGCTGTCTATTCCCGCTCGGAGGTGTGATTCCATGGGGCAATATCGTTCTTCCTTGTTTAAAGCTGGCACCCAAAACTAGGCAGAGGGCTTCTCCAAAACTTGGGTCCTTTTCTCTTGCAGTTATCACCAAGTGATTTTCAAAAGACAGACTTTACATATATATGTATATTCGTTTGTAGAAATAATTCAGAATGATAGCAGTAATAATAGCTACTATATCTTGAACACTGACTTTGTGCCAGGTGCCGTACCGTGCATTATGTATCTCACATCAGTCCTCGTAACAGTCCCAAGACAGTTACTGTTTTATCTCAGTTCTGTGGATGAAGTAATGGAGGTTAAAGAGGTTAAGTAACTTGCTACTGGTCACATAGCAAGCTGGGATCTGAATCACTAAATATGATGAGCTTTCTAACATGATGTAAAGAATTTGCACAGGGCAGAGATGTAACATCTAGAGACCGAATGCCTCCTGTAGTCCTGTATCTTGGAGAAATCCACTATTAAGAGTTTAGTGTTTATCTTTCTCATACAACCACTTAATTACATTTCTGTACCTTTTTGTTTATTTTCACATACTATTCTGTGTCTGGCTCTTTCCTTCAACAGTGAAACTTGGTGATTTCTTCATGCAGAGAACTACCTCGTTCTTTCAAATTGCCACCTAATATTCTACTTCCGGGCTTACCATGACTTTTCCGACCATCTGTATTATTTCTGATTGCAGTGAGCGCCTTAAATACCTATACATTCACCACTATAGTGTTGAGTAATTTTAGGACTGCACAGGTTCTGCACTTTTGCAATGAATGTGTTTGTTACCACACATTTATGAAGTGCTTACTCTGTGCCAGGTGCTGTGCTAGGTGCTGACACACAGCAAAGAAGAGCTATAGACCTGAAGGTCTAGTGGAGGTGCCGGAGAGCAATCAGATAATCACAAAAACAGGAATGCAAACCGGCAAGGGCTACGGATGTGGAGGCAGAGGGTGAAGGGCCAGAGTTATCGGGGAGTGTTGGCAGACTGTCCCCAAGCCCAAGCAAGATTGTGCACGAGAGGACCCACCTTGAAGGGACTTGTGCAAATGGAGGGCAGGATGGGGTGTGGGAAGCACATGTGCCCTTTGAGCATGTCCTTCCTCGTGCAGACAAAAGTCCTGATCCCCAGTGGTGCCTGGCCACAAGTCATTTTTTTTTAAATAAGATTTTTCTTGGTGTTTTTTTAAACCCTCACTCGAGGATATGTTTTTATTGATTTTTAGAGAGAGGCGAAAGGAGAGAGAAAGAAACATCAATGGGTTGCCTCCCATATGTACCCCAACAGGGGATTAAACCCACAACCTAGGTATATGCCCTGACCGGAAATCGAACCCGCAACCTTTTGGTGTAAGCGATGACGCTCCAACCAACTGAGTCACCCGGCCAGAGCTGGTCTCAAGTCTTGATCTGAACGTGGGCCCAGAGCTTGATGTTCATTTAGAGATAGTTTTGGGCTTCAGGGTTTTCCATGGCCTTTCTTGTGCGGTTCATCTGAAAACTGAACCAAATGGTCCTGTTATCAGTGAGTTCTATGAGAAAAGCAGGTCTGGTGCAAAAACAGTTAAAGAAACCAGAGAACCCGTCTTTTCTCTGACTTGAGCCATTGGTAGTTAAACCAGGAGGTGGTCAGAAACTGGCTGCCTTGAGCTGGGCGGTGGCTCTGTGCTTGCACTTTGATTATGGGGTGTTAGTTGTGGTTGCAGCCAAGTCCTGGGGTCAGCAGATCCGCTGGAGATGTCTGAGGAGTTTCAGCCAGCAACCAGTTTCTATCATCTTCTGGGCCCCACCAAGCTCTATTATGGTTATAGGTGCTTCGAGGTCCTGGATGTGGGGCCGAAGTAGGGACCCAGGCACAGGGAGGTTACTGTGGGCTTAGTGACCCTCCCCGCCTGCCCCTCAAGCAGCTAAAACCTGAGGCCATCCCTATGGTGACGCCATAGAAATTCCCAACCCCCTGGGGGCCTGTCTGCCCTTCCTGTGGCTTGGCCAACAGGCCAGAAATAGTGTAACCTTTGCTCTGGCCCACAGATGGAAACTTCCAGCTGCCGGCCGTTGCCGCCACCGCTGACAAGCGTGCTCGTGATGGTGTGGCAGTTGGTCAAAGGGTGGGGACGAAATAAAGTTGGCAGCATTTTCCTAAACACGAGAGCTGGGCTCTCTCTCCACCCTCCTTCCTCAAGTAGAACATGGGGTGGAAAGCGGGAGGGAGTGGATTTCGAACTAACTAGCCTGGTGATGTTGCCTTTTGCTTCTCTTTATTTTTATAAAAAGTAAAAAAATTGAAAATTGAAGACTATAGAAATAATATAACATTCCCTGGTATGGAGCTCTTGCTATGTGTTAGACACTTCGAGTATTCGCCTAAGGTATCACAGTTACTTTTTTTTTAATCCTCACTGGAGGATTTTTTCCATTGATATTTTTTAGAGAAAGTGGAGGGAAGGGAGGAGGGGGAGAGAGAGAAACATCGATGCGAGAGAGACACATTGATAGGTTGCCTCCTGCACGAGCCCGACCAGGGTACATGCCCTAGATCAGGAATTGAACCCATGACCCTTCTGTCCTTGGGTCGACGCTCTAACCACTGAGCCAAACCGGCCAGGGCCACAGTTACTTTTTATACCAGCTCTACAAGTTGTGTGGTTGTTATCTTTTCTATTTTAAGAATGGGGAGAATGAAGCCCCAGGGAAGGAAAGTAACTTGCTCAGAGCCACACAGCTCACAAGAGGCAGGAGCCAGTCAGGCCTTTGTGGCTCTAGACTCTGAGAGTTTTTCAAATGATAGCGTTTGTCTCTTTGGAATACGGTGGGCCCACAAAACCTGCCCGGACTCTCTCTTCCCAGATAATTTCTGTTGATGTTAAAACACAAACCAAACGCTGTAGATGTTCATAAGGTTAAAAATGCAAACCCCAGCAAGGTTCAGAGTGCAACGTAAAGCCTCCTTCCCTTCCTCCCACATTCTGTTTAAATGATGCATCAGGTTTCTCCTCACTCGACCTCCCAGAGAGAACCACTCTCTTTGTATTTCCCTGATTTTTTTCCGAGGTGTATTTTATTTCGATTATCCTCAAATGGGATCGCACTTTACTCGAGGTTCTCACCTTGGACGGCTTTCTGTGTGAGCTGCGGGTGACTTGCTCTGGAGGAGACTGGCTGCTCCTCCCCTTCTGCTCCCTGCCTGTTCCACCCAGACTTCTTTGACTAGGAGACGGGGTCCTGTGGTCCCTAGATGGCCATGGTGGGGTGGGCTATGACCTTCCCCTGCTTGTGTGGACCCGCGTGCCCCCTCCTTGGCTGCTCCAGGCTGGTGCCATCTGGAGGTGGGGGCGGTTGGCATCATGGGGGAGTTGCCCTGAGATTGCCATGTGCCTGAGTCAAGCTGGCTGCTGCACCGGTGATTCATGCCTTGTAGGGCCGAGTGGACGTAGCTGGGGATTTCTAAGTGCCCAAGAACCTTTCTGCTGGTGGAGAGGGCCAGCTGCCCATGGGGACCAGGGCAACATGCTGCCACTGTCTTGCCGTAGCATCGGGGCACGTTTTCTTCCAGACTCCAGGCCTGTTGTCCCTGGCCCGCACAGTGAGGGATGGACCTGCCGGGCCCTGGTCCTTGTCAGCTCCAGGAGTGCACGTTCTCAGGGTCAGCAGTGTCCCTCCCCACTGCAGTCCCCTTCACGTGAGGATTCTGGTTGTGTCTTGGCAGCAGGCCCTGCAGGACAAGGGGTGCAAGAGCAAGAGTCAGGGGACGAAAGAAGAGAAGCTCCTGAAGAGGCAGGCGCCGGCCCCCGGGCGGGGCCGGGAGGCCCAGGAAGCTGGTGGCACGATGAATGTAGAGAATACAGGTAAAGGAGGTCTGCCCACTGACCTGGGACGGCCCTGGCTAAAGCTGGCACTGAGGGGAGGTTCTTGTGGCGTCTGAGCTGTCCCCACACACTGTCCTTCTTACCTGGAGGTGGCCCATCCAAGTCCTGGACGCCTTGACATGGAACTCAGAGACCCCCAGCCTGCCCAGCCCTCCTCCTGGGACACCCTCCTCCCGGTGCCACCAGGGCCCCACTCGGTGATAAGAGGTTTTGGCTCGCATGGGCTGGGGTTGAATTTCCCCGCTTTTTGTCTTTTCCCCAGTGCCTGTCTAAAGCAGGGCGACGGTGGCAGCTCAGAGATGGCACTGCCTGCAGACAGAGGCCTGACCACTTACCGTTGTATCTGTGGGTCCACTGGGGACCCAGAGACCCTAGGACAGGGCCTCATTCTGCTGCCTTGAAGCTGGGAAAGGAGCTGGTAGCTCCACTCTTCTCTGGCAAGGCTAACTCGTTCTGGAAGATTCTACAGACCCCCTTCCTGAGATTCCCCAGAGGGAGGCCTGAGCACAGTGATCACTGGGAAGGAGCATCCTCAAGGAGCCCAACGGGGAGGCCAAGAATGTGTGGGAAAAGGGGTCGGTCTTTCTCTTGGTTTCCTCCGCCTGTCACCAGACGTTGATTCGTGTGTCTGAACTTGCCTTGCGGTGGAAGTGTCTAATCCCTCCTCCGAGTCCGTGCCAGAGCTGCATCCGCCCGTCTGCGCCGGGCACTCCTGCTCAGTAGCAGGTGTCGGAGTCTGGCCAAGGTCTGGGCAGACAGGTCTTGGGAAGGGGGGCATCGTCCAGCCAGTCCAATGGGCTCTCATTAGCTCAGGAGAGAGAGGCCAACTCTAGTCGAGAATGAAGACTGACTTTAGTCGCTGGGGACAGGCATGGTCAGTCCTGAAAGCTGACATACCAAGAGGTGCGCAGCCTCTTCCATGTAAGAGCCTGTTCAGTAGCTTGTTCCCAAGTGCCCCTTTGATCTGCCACTGTCCCTTAGTTTCTTCAAGGTCCTTTCTCCCCGGGGAGCACTTCCCAGGCCCCCTCTCAGTTCCCCCGGCACATGGGCACTGTGCTGAGATCAGGACGAACCCCACCAGGCGTGGGCTCTTGGGGTATCTCAGAACCTCTGTGATACAAGCAGTGCCCTGTCAGGCAGCATCCACCCACACCCGCTCATCCCTCATGTGTCCAGGCTCCTGTCCCAAGGGTGCCTCTTTGGGCAAGGACTGTTGTCCCCATTTCACAAAGGAAGACCCTGTGGGGCCTCTCCCACACATCTCTTCAGTGGCAGAAGCAGCTCTGGCCCTAGAGTCTGGGGCATCCCCTCCACCCCCACCCCATGGCAGTCTGCAAAGAGCTGAGAGCCATACTGGTCCCATGCAGCCCTGGAAGCATCCTTCTGACCTCACTCTCTCCAGAATAGAGCAGAAACTTGGCCAACTGTGTGTGACATGCACGCTATGTCACATGCAGGCCATATGGCCAGGGCCACTAGCCAACCAGTGACTGCTCCTGCTCCAGCTCTCTAGAGGGTCTTGAGTCAGTCATCCCAAGGGGTTGGGAGGAAAGGAAAAGCCAGCCTGTGTGTGCTTTGCCTGCTCTCCTTAGAGTGGGGGCAGGGACTTCGCACTGTCTACCCCTCCTGGGATGGTGCCAAACTGATCTGCCCAGCGGGGACTTGCTCCCTCCACACTCTGGGCCCCAGCCCAGCACGCAAGCTGCATGCAGCGTCTCTGCCGTCTCAGCCTCAGCGAGCACACTTGCTGCCTCCCGTGGGTCGAAGCTGCCAGTGGGGGGTGTGATTTCAGGAGCAGGTGGCTTTGTTCACAAACTCTGGGAGCCCCCCAGTCCCACCCACAAGGCTGTGGCTCCAGGGACCTCTTGTGGGGGAGCCCAGAAGCCCCGGGGCTCCGAGGTCAAGTGGAGGCCCGCAGCCAGCAGATGCTGCTCCTCCATGTCCCTCTCGGGCACTTCGCTCTTGGACACTTCCCTTCTGTCCTTGGGGCTTTGGCCAGTGCCCGGGTTGGGCTGGGCTGCTGGAGGGGAGGCAGGTCCCCTGCCCTTCGACCCTCTCCTCCACCATCTCTCCGACCTCCCGAGCTCCTTGCCAACTCCCCACCTGCAGAGACCGTGGCCGTTCTTGGTGCCCTCGAAGCAAGCTCTGACAAGCCTCCTGGGTCACAGGCCTCGATTCCGTGCCTTTGTCCTTCCTCCCATCTGTGTGCCTGTCTCCTGCTCCTGGCGGCACAGTGGAAGGTTGTGACTGGGGGAGGACTCGGGGTGTCAGCCCACCCCCCACCATATTAACAAGTCCTCCCGCCTGTGCGGCCCCTGCCCTTGGTCCCCCCCAGGGCAGGTGTCCACCCCAGAGCAGGCCTATCTGTGTTCCTGTCCACGTGCTATGTCTGTTTCCGTGTCCTGGTCTGTCTGTCCCTGGCACGTGCCCACCTTTCCCTTTGCTCCCTCTCAGTGTGCAGGTGACTGCTCCCTGGGGTGAGAGCCCCCACCTCTCTTCTCTACACTCTGGAGAGGGTTTGGGGTTTAAAGAAATCATGTTCCCCCAAGAATAGTGTTTAATGAGGAGGTAGCCCCGACTCCTCAGCCTTGATGACTTATAGGCCAGCCATGGAGAGGATAGCGCCCCTCAAACCTGGAACCCAAGATTCGAAGGGAGAATTCAGTGAAAGTCGCTTTCCTGAGTCCTGATCCAGGCGATTCAGTCCCCCATGAGCTGCCCGCTGAAGTGGCTTCCTCCGAGGTGGCCTCGGAGTCCTGTTGCTAACGCACGGCTAACCCCCAGCCCTCGCCCTGCCCCACCCCCTCTGCTTGCATTCCCTCTGTCCCCAGTGGTCTGGGCGGCCCTGCAGGGACGGCCCCCTCTCCTCGGCCAGGGTGGGACCTCTGCTGCCCTGCTGATCGGCCACTGCTCTGCTCATAGGTGGGCGGCTCTTTGGCAGCGGGAGGTGCTCGAGCCTGTCGGGGCCGCCAGGTGCGGCCCCCATGGTGCATAGGATGGTGGAGGCCATGCCCCAGCCGCAGGAGGAGAAGGCCCGGCTGCAGCAGGAGCTGGCAGCCCTACGGGAGAGGCTGGCCCTCCAAGACAGTGACCAGCAAGCCACATCCACCCAGCTGCAGAACCAGGTACCTGGGGAGGATGGGACGGGCAGAGGCCACTGCCCACCGTGGAGCAGGTTGGAGGACATCGCCCGGGTCACCTGGAACCCACCAGGCCACCGGCAATACGGACAGCTGCGGTCTCCTCTCCTGGCTTGGGGATGCACAAGAGGGTGAGGTGGCGAGAGTCAGAGGCCTGGACCTCCTGACCTGGTCAGCCTTGTGCCCCATTCCTCATGGTTCCCAGGGGCCAGGACCTACCTCTCCAGTGACGGGCGGCATGTGTAGATGTGAGAGGAGCAGGAAGGTGCAGGGATGCTTCCCACCCCGAACGCACCCCATCTGCTCGGCAGCCCGAGTGGAAAACCAGCGGGAAAGGAGAGGCTGGTGTGAGCACATGTGGGAGGAGGGAGCTCTCAATCCTCTGGAGGCCAGGGAGAGCCACAGGTTTATGCTGTGAAATCGTTTCCTTCTTTTGCTCGCCAGGACGACACTGGGGGACTCCGCCCTTGCGCTGCACACCCCGTGGGGCTGATCGCTGGCCCTCCTCTGGGTGCCTGACGACTTTATTCTCTTCTTCCCCATACCTGGGCCCCAGGGCCCTTTCCTTGGGCTCAGCTCCCCATCCCATTGTCATGTGTGTCTCTCGTGCCTGTGTCTGACCCTCCCCACTTCCCCAAGGTCCCCACTGTCTCTCCCCTTCATCCCTGCATTGGATCTGGGCCTGGTCCGTACAAAGCCCTACTTTTGAGTGAAGCCAAGTTCTTTCTCTGTGATCACCCAGCACGTGGCCCTTCTCTTGAGTGGACACCACTGAATACTGTGACTTGTTCTCAGTTCTGGGGGCAGTAGATTCTTTTTGTGTACTTTTTAAAGGTAGCATTTTTTCCCAGGTGTGTCCTGTTCTCAAGAACTCTTTGTCCTGACCACTGTCAGCCCCTTGCTGAGTTGGGTGGCCCTCCTTGGGACATCCCTGGTGCCTGTGTCTCCCTCTTACATGCTGACCCCATTGTTTGCTGCCTCTGGGCCTGTGAAGGGGCTACTCAAGGCAGGGTTTGACACGGCAGCTTTATGTCACTGTTGGCTCCTGTGGTGCCCACTTGCCTGCCTTCCTCAGATGTTTGCTGGGTGCCCAGTATTGTACAAGCACCGAGCTGAGAGCTGAGGATGCCCAGGGAGACAGACACACCCTTGCCTGTGGGGCTGCAGTCTGGGGGAGGATGGTTATTGCAGTCTGGGGGAGGATGCACCCAGGTCAAGTGGGCAGAGTAACAAGGGCTCTGAGGGTAGGCACACAGGGCACGAGGGCTTGTACCAGGAGCTTGGTCTGGGAGGTCAGGACCTGTTGAGGGTGGTCAGGGATGGCTTCCTTGAGAAAGTGACACTGGAGCTGAGGTGTGGCCCAGAGCAGAGATGTGTTCTGAGCTGAGGGAACAAGTTAGTGCAAAGGGACTGTGGCAGAAGGAGCAAGATGAGTACATTTGGTATCCACTGGGGATTGGTTCCAGGACCCCCCACATGGGGATACCAAAGTCCTCGAATGCTCAAATCCCTTATATAAAATGGCTTAGCCCTGGTCAGTGGGGCTCAGTGGTTAGAGCGTTGGCCTGAGAGCCAAAGGGTCACAGGTTCGATTCTCAGTCAAGGGCATGTACCTGGGTTGCGGGTCCCTCCCCAGCCCTGGTCAGGGCCTGTGTGGGAGGCAACCAGTGGATGTCTCTCTCTCTCTCTCTCTCTCTCTCACCCACCCACCCCCACACACTCTGAAAAGCAATGGAAAAAATACCCTCATGTGAAGAATTCACAAAAAATAATAAAATAATTGGTTTAGTATTTGCACATAACCTACACACTTCCTCTCATACACTTCAGATCATCCGTAGATTAATTATAATACCTAATGCAAATGCTGTGAAAATAGTTGTTATACTGTATTGTTCAGGGACCAACTTTCTGGAATTCCCCCCCCCCCATATTTTTAGTCTGAGGTTGGGCTGACTGTATAAGGGTGGAGCCAAGGCCTGTGCAGCTGGAACGTGGCACCGGGCACTGCTGGAGGGGCCGCGGGGCTGGTGCAGCGCCCACACATCTGGCCACGGCGAGGGCTCTCAGCAGCGCTTCCTTCCCTGGCCTTCCCCAGCGTAGAAGGCCAGGCTCCTCACTTTTCAAATGTGTTGTTTTGTTTTTAAAGAGCTCTACTGAGATACAGTTCACTTACTGTAAAATTCACCCCTTTATAGGTATATAGCTTAATGGTCTTAAGTATGTTAAGATAGTGACCCGGCCACCACCACTGTCTAGTTTCAGAGCATGTTCATCACCCCAAAAAGATCTAAGTCACTCCCCTCCCCCCAGCTCCTGGCAACCAATGATCTGCTTTCTGTTTTATGGATTTGCCTTTTTGGGAACATTTCATGTAAATGAAATCATAATAATACACGGTCTTTTGTGACTTTGAACAAGTGTTAAAAAAAATGTTTTTTCCCTTAATTAGCAAAGCCTAGTTCCTTCTTAGAGGGGAAGTTGAAGGTGAAGCAGTGGAGTGTCTGCAGACCTTCCAGGCCCCGCTTGTCTCTTTCTTGCTCAATGTTTTCCTGCCTCAGGGACTCCTGGCACCTTCCCCCACTGCCCAGGCCCTCCAGAAGCAGACCCCTCTGGGCAGAGGGCGAGGGTCCCACTCCTGGGCAGCCCAGCTTCTAACTTCCCAGCCCCAAAAGGAGCTTGCCTGCCAGGGCGCCGTCACTGCCACCCTGCAGTGTTGAACTGTGTCCCCCTGCTGCCCTAGAGAAGCCGGGAGACGACTGAGTATCTGACATCTCTGACCGAAGGAGTCTTCTATAGCCTCTCCCTCAACCCCCACCCACACCCTGCGCCCCCTTTGTAGGCACCTCCTTTTGGGGCACCCTTCAGAGTTCTAGGCAGAGCCCGGGAGCACCCAGGGTTCCAATTGTGATGCAAGAAACAGGAGCCTGTTCTGCAGACAGATGGTAGGCGGGCATCCTGACCCCCTGAGCAAACACTGGGAAACCCCACTTTCGTTGCATCGAGGTCTGAGTACCAGGCAGCGCGATGGGGACAAGCGAGGTCAGAGCATACCCGGCCCGTGCTGAGGACACAGCCTGTCTGGGCTGCCAGTTCTGTGCACATGGACCGTCCTGGGGTGATTTCTGGAGGAGGGCAATGGGGTGGGGAGACCCCATCCTTTCAAAAGGAAGTATTTCAGGGTGAAGGGAGTGTGAAAGGAATACATAATTCTTTGAGGCTTAAAAATTACTGAAAAGCATAAAGAATTGGCCTACTTCTTGGTATTGCTCGCACAGCTTTGTTTTGGGTTTTTTGTTTTGTTTTTTTACTTACTGTGTTGGGGAAACCTTTCCCTGTGTCTTTTAAAATTCCTGGGAAACACAGCTAATGACTACATGATAGCCTCTGTGTGCACCTATGTAAGGGACCTGACCCTTCCTCCAAGGCTGGGTGTTCGGCGATTCCCAGTTTTGTGACTAAGGAATGAAATGCTGCCTTGTGCAAATTGTCCCTCACTCCCCTCTGGGGCCAAGGAGCTGAGCACTCCTCCCACCAGGCCCTTAAGAGAAGGGGGTATCAGGAGCGTGGGGAGAAGTGGCGCGAGCTTTGCCACCCCGCATGGTCCATGGCCCAGCACATTGCTAGGAGGGGCTGTTAGGGATGGAGCCCTCCGGGACCACCCTGGTCCTCTGCTCACCTGGCTGTGCCCTTAGGGCACCTGCTTGGCCACCAGGAGGACTTGGGCAGCCGGGTTGGGCCTCCCAGCTCCTCTCTGGGTCTGGGTCTTAGAATCCTGGTCCCCAGCTATGAGTGATGGTGCTGGTGTCACACAGCCTTTGCCTCGGGTGGGGGGCGGTGGGGGAGCTCATGGCTGGCTCCCTCCCCAGCCAGCTCTGAGAGGCAGAGGCTCGCCTTGTGGTTCCGCTGCCTTCTCCAGGCCGGGAAGACTGAGCACCTCAGCCATTAAAGTCTGGAGATTTAACCCGCCCTCCCCCAAAACTCCAGTGTCTGGCCTCTCTTGAAAGGTGAGAAGTTTGGTGACACTGAGCCTGTGTCCCCCTGGCCCGAGTCTTTGGGGAGTGCATGGTGGCTGCCTCCTTCAGGTGCATCTTGGGCGTCCAGTCCTGCACTGCCCCTCACCTGCCTTACCTGGCTGGCCCCTGGAGGCAGGGGACTTTGTCACCTGTTGTTTAGAAATAAGAGCAGTGTTTTGTGGCCTGCTGTGTGAACCGCACCTCTTAAACCTCCATGGGGTGAATCTGACAAAGGTGTGGGGAAGTCACAGAACACTCGCAAATAACACTGCCAACAAGCTCGTGCTGGTGCCCAAGTCTTCATCTGTGTTTTGGGTTATTTTCCAAGGAGAGGTTCCTGATGCAGAACCAAGGTCTGTGGAGCTGCCTGGGGGGCAGCTCCAGGAGGGGTCGCCATCCTAGGATGGCCAGGGCAGATCCTGGTTTTGTAGTGCCTACAGTTTATACAATTTGGGGGCCCTTTTAAGAAAAAGAATACAAAATCACAAATGCAAAAGTAGATACAGGCCTTGGCAGGGACCTGTGCAAGGCAGGCATCCTGAGGGCCAGCCTCCTGAATCACCCTGTGAGCTGCCCCTGGNGGTAGGCGGGCATCCTGACCCCCTGAGCAAACACTGGGAAACCCCACTTTCGTTGCATCGAGGTCTGAGTACCAGGCAGCGCGATGGGGACAAGCGAGGTCAGAGCATACCCGGCCCGTGCTGAGGACACAGCCTGTCTGGGCTGCCAGTTCTGTGCACATGGACCGTCCTGGGGTGATTTCTGGAGGAGGGCAATGGGGTGGGGAGACCCCATCCTTTCAAAAGGAAGTATTTCAGGGTGAAGGGAGTGTGAAAGGAATACATAATTCTTTGAGGCTTAAAAATTACTGAAAAGCATAAAGAATTGGCCTACTTCTTGGTATTGCTCGCACAGCTTTGTTTTGGGTTTTTTGTTTTGTTTTTTTACTTACTGTGTTGGGGAAACCTTTCCCTGTGTCTTTTAAAATTCCTGGGAAACACAGCTAATGACTACATGATAGCCTCTGTGTGCACCTATGTAAGGGACCTGACCCTTCCTCCAAGGCTGGGTGTTCGGCGATTCCCAGTTTTGTGACTAAGGAATGAAATGCTGCCTTGTGCAAATTGTCCCTCACTCCCCTCTGGGGCCAAGGAGCTGAGCACTCCTCCCACCAGGCCCTTAAGAGAAGGGGGTATCAGGAGCGTGGGGAGAAGTGGCGCGAGCTTTGCCACCCCGCATGGTCCATGGCCCAGCACATTGCTAGGAGGGGCTGTTAGGGATGGAGCCCTCCGGGACCACCCTGGTCCTCTGCTCACCTGGCTGTGCCCTTAGGGCACCTGCTTGGCCACCAGGAGGACTTGGGCAGCCGGGTTGGGCCTCCCAGCTCCTCTCTGGGTCTGGGTCTTAGAATCCTGGTCCCCAGCTATGAGTGATGGTGCTGGTGTCACACAGCCTTTGCCTCGGGTGGGGGGCGGTGGGGGAGCTCATGGCTGGCTCCCTCCCCAGCCAGCTCTGAGAGGCAGAGGCTCGCCTTGTGGTTCCGCTGCCTTCTCCAGGCCGGGAAGACTGAGCACCTCAGCCATTAAAGTCTGGAGATTTAACCCGCCCTCCCCCAAAACTCCAGTGTCTGGCCTCTCTTGAAAGGTGAGAAGTTTGGTGACACTGAGCCTGTGTCCCCCTGGCCCGAGTCTTTGGGGAGTGCATGGTGGCTGCCTCCTTCAGGTGCATCTTGGGCGTCCAGTCCTGCACTGCCCCTCACCTGCCTTACCTGGCTGGCCCCTGGAGGCAGGGGACTTTGTCACCTGTTGTTTAGAAATAAGAGCAGTGTTTTGTGGCCTGCTGTGTGAACCGCACCTCTTAAACCTCCATGGGGTGAATCTGACAAAGGTGTGGGGAAGTCACAGAACACTCGCAAATAACACTGCCAACAAGCTCGTGCTGGTGCCCAAGTCTTCATCTGTGTTTTGGGTTATTTTCCAAGGAGAGGTTCCTGATGCAGAACCAAGGTCTGTGGAGCTGCCTGGGGGGCAGCTCCAGGAGGGGTCGCCATCCTAGGATGGCCAGGGCAGATCCTGGTTTTGTAGTGCCTACAGTTTATACAATTTGGGGGCCCTTTTAAGAAAAAGAATACAAAATCACAAATACAAAAGTAGATACAGGCCTTGGCAGGGACCTGTGCAAGGCAGGCATCCTGAGGGCCAGCCTCCTGAATCACCCTGTGAGCCTGGGATGACGTGGGGGTCACCTCTGCTGATTACCCCCCGTATTTCCTGAGAGCCTAAGCTGGCTGGATTCTGCCATGGAAGAGAGTGCTGAAGGCTGTCAGGGCCAGTCCAGGTGTCGCTTATCTGGAGTTCCAGGTGTGGCCTGATGCTCAGACACAGAGAGGACTGGGGCCGAAGCCTGGTTGTGGGCAGGAGGTGAGCAAGGCTCATTGTGACCTTGGCTTTGTGCTGGCAGGTGGAAAGCCTGAAGGAGAAGCTCATCAGCCAGGCCCAGGAAGTGAGCCGCCTCCGATCAGAGCTGGTGAGGCCACCAACGCATCCCATGTAGGGCGGAGGGGGACTGATGGGCAGCCTGCCCCTCTGGATGATAGGCGTGACCCCCTGCAGCCTGAGTGGGGCCCGCATCCCATCTTGGAAATGCTCCTGGAGTCCTTATCACCAGTCACTAGGTCTTCAGAGGCCATGTGATCCCAGGGGAGGGAGGTGAATATAGGAGTGTGAACTCTGTATAAATGTGACTTCTCTCGTTACTCTCACACTCAGGGAAAGGGGTGGGGTGCCGCTGGGAGCAGTCCTGCCTCACGAGCCTTCTCCACCTTTCTCCCTCTGCCTTTATCTTTACCTCTCCCTTGAGCCCCCCTCTCTTCTCTCCCGGGCTCCCCTTCCTTTCTCTTTCCTCCCCTCTCTCCCGCCCCTCGCCCCCCTGCCCTTGCCAACTCTCTCGGCCCCACCCCTCGCTGCTCCCCCGGGGCTGCCCTGGCCACACGCCCCGGGCTGACCCTGCAGGGAGGCACCGACTTGGAGAAGCACCGGGACCTGCTGATGGTGGAGAACGAGCGGCTGCGGCAGGAGATGCGGCGCTGCGAGGCCGAGCTCCAGGAGCTGCGCGCCAAGCTGGCGGCCCCCTGCGCGGGCTGCGAGCACAGCCAGGTGAGCGCGGGACCAGGGGGTCCCAGAGGGCCCCCGCTCCCGACGGGGGACCCCAGCTCCTCACGGCACCCCCTGCCTCCCTGCCTGCCTGCCCCACGCTGGTCCCGGCCCTGTGTCCCGGCTGCAGGAGAGCGCCCAGCTCCGGGACAAGCTGTCCCAGCTCCAGCTGGAGGTGGCGGAGAACAAAAGCATGCTGTCGGAGCTGAACCTGGAGGTGCAGCAGAAGACCGACCGGCTGGCCGAGGTGGAGCTGCGGCTCAAGGACTGCCTGGCCGAGAAGGCGCAGGAGGAGGAGCGGCTCAGCCGGCGGCTGCGCGACAGCCACGAGACCATCGCCAGCCTGCGGGCCCAGTCACCGCCCATCAAGGTGCGAGCCTGGGCCGGCCCGGCGCGCGGCCACTGGTGCCCAGGGCAGGGCTGGCATGTAGGAGCCGGTGTGAGTGGTTGAAGGCAGGGTTCCAAGCCTGCCCTTAGCCTGTCTCTGGCCCCTTCCCCCGCTTGCTGTCCAGGGCCAGGCACGGGGTAGGCACCTGGCAACCGATGCCTGAGGTGCTCACTGCAGGCCAGGCATGGGCATAGGGCATCACTGGGTTTTGCCCTCATCTTTGCTCTTGGCTGTTCTGTGCCCAGGCTGGGGCCACCCCTAGGCTCATAGCGGGCTCATTAAGATGAGAAGGTTCCAGGAGGCCCTTGCAGCATTCTGGAAAGCCGGGACCTTGCAGTGTCTCTAGCTTTTTCAGGGGCTTTTGGTGGGATGTCCCTGAGGGTCCCCTCCCCAGGCCAGCCTCGTCTCAGGGCCCCAGAGTGAGGTCAAGGCACCCTCACACCTCCATGCTCCTGTCCCTCTCTCACCTCACAGTATGTTATCAAAACGGTGGAGGTGGAGTCGCCCAAGACCAAGCAGGCCCTCAATGAGTCCCAGACCCGGAACCAGCACCTGCAGGAGCAGGTGGCCATGCAGAGACAGGTGCTGAAGGAGATGGAGCAGCAGCTGCAGAGCTCGCACCAGCTGACCGCACAGCTCCGGGCACAGGTGTGCAGGCTGCCCGGGGGCGCGTGTGGTTGGCGGGGATCACGTACAAGGAGCAGAGGCCAGCCTTTGGTACAGCGCAACAGACCCAGGTTCTGGACCCTCCTCTTCCCGCTGACCGTGTGACCAAGGGCCAGTTTTGTCTGAGTCTCTGTTTTGTCATCTATAAAATGATGTGATCACTGAACCTACCTCACAGTGGGGCTCAGGGACAGACTCACAAAAGGTTCTTCTCCCAGGGCTCAGCACACATGCTCCCTGAAGGGTGCTCTCGTCAGGATCGTAGCAAATGCTCTCCCTGCTTTTCTGGGGCTTATGCACCTGTTATGTGCCAGGACCCAGGTTGGTGCTGGGGCAACGTAGGGAAGTAGCTGCACAGAGCTCACAGCCGTATGGGGGAGAGAGAGGCCATCCTACCCCTCCTGTGTGTGTGCATGCAGGTGTGTGGGGGGGGTAAGTAGAGTCAGGGCTTCTTTCTGGCGCCCACTCCCCTCCCTCCCGAGCCCAGTGTATTGACCTTCTGGCGTTGGCCCCCAGATCGCCATGTACGAGTCGGAGCTGGAGCGCGCACACGGGCAGATGCTGGAGGAGATGCAGTCCCTGGAGGAAGACAAGAACCGGGCCATCGAGGAGGCCTTTGCCAGAGCCCAGGTGGAGATGAAAGCCGTGCATGAGAACCTGGCAGGTGAGCCGGCCACCTGGGCCCTGGCCTGCCCCAAGCTGCAGCCCCTCACCCTGTCCACCTCACACCCCTGCTGTCCCTGTAGGCGTCCGGACCAACCTGCTGACACTGCAGCCAGCACTGAGGACCCTCACTAACGACTACAATGGGCTCAAGCGGCAGGTGCGAGGCTTCCCCCTGCTACTACAGGAGGCCCTCAAGAGCGTCAAGGCCGAGGTGAGTGCAGGCCGTGGAGGGTGGAGCCGGGACAGGCCCTGGAGCCCTTGAGCAGGGCAGCATCCCCCCAGGGCTCTCCTCCAAAATGCAGACAGAACCCTCTAGCCAACTGCTTCCCCACAGCACACACTGCCATCCCAGACCCCGTTTGAAAAAGTCTGGTCAGGGGCAGGTATTTGGGCATTTGTTTTGTTCTGACTCTTCTACCCAAACATGTTACAGATATCCTACCCAAACATGTTACAGATATCCTTGTATCTCAGACATGCTACGTATATTCTTACATCTGTTAGGTTTAATTTAATTTTTCAAGCTGTGCTTGTTCCATATGAGAATAGCCAGGGTCTCTTAAGTGCCTCCTACATACTGAGCCTTTTATAGCCGTCCGCTCCTTGAATCCGTGCGACGGCTCTGCAGAGGAGAGAGACGGATGTATTTTAGGAAAAAAAACAGTTCTTTAAAATATTATGTCAGTAACACATGGACATAGTAGGAAGTTCAAACCCTGTACAAGGACATCAGATGAAAAGGATGCCCTTCTCTGCCACTCGCTCCCCAAATGCGGCCTCGTTGCCAGCATTTCCCTAGGGCGTTCTGAGCGTGAGAAATGTGTTTTTGCCTATGCATCTTACTCACAAGGGCAAAATATAGGTGTGTGCTCTGCATATTGCTTATTTCCCCTGTGAAATACAACTTGGAGATCTTCACCTACCAGCTCCTACAGATCCATGAGTCAGATGGTATTATTCCCATTTTACAGATGAGAACATTGAGGCTTGAAGACATTGAGCTACTCAGGGTAGAGCTGGGATTTGGGTCCAGCCGAATCTGTAGTCAAGTGCGAGTGCTGTGGAGTGAAGCCGAGTCCCAGCTCTTTGCTTATTTAGCAGGCAGCCTTGAACTATTGCCTTAGTCTCTCTGGGGCTCAGTCTCTTTCTCTGTAAAATGGGACTGGTAGCAGTACCTACCCAGAGGGGTTACTGGGAAAATTTGTCACGTGACAGCACATGTCAAGGACTCTGCCCAGGGCGGGGGACAGTGCTTGGCCTGCCTGGGGGCAGGCAGTCCATGAGCCGGACCCCTGACAGCACTGCGTGTCCCCCACCAGATCGGCCAGGCCATCGAGGAGGTCAACAGCAACAACCAGGAGCTGCTGCGAAAGTACCGCCGGGAGCTGCAGCTGCGCAAGAAATGCCACAATGAGCTTGTGCGGCTGAAAGGTGACTGCTGGGTGGGCTGGTGGGGGTGCCCAGCATAGGGGTCCTCAGCCTAGCTTGGAGGTAATCCTGCCTTTCGCCACGGCCCCCAGCACTACTTCTTGGAGCTGTGCCCTGTCATTGAGGAGCTATTGTCCTTCCCTCTTTGAGGATAAGGAACGGAGACACAAAGAAGTCAGGGACTTGGATCTGTCCAACTCAGAAGCCCTTGCCCAGTGTCCATAGCAGGCTACCTCCAGGCCCCGGGTGTTGAAACTGAGCGGGGAGTGGCTGGAATGCCACTTGTTCTGACCTAGGGCTGATAAGCTTGCGATTGCACCTGTTCACTGCACAAAGGTTTAGCAGCTAACCTGTCCTGTGCCAGGTGCTGTTCCAGACACTGAGATAGTGCTGTGGGCCCCACAGATGCCATCTCTGCCCTCACGGTGCTCGCTTGAGCTGGGAAAGCAGACAGTGATCATTAATCAGCCAGAGAACCCAACATGGTTTCTGTTAAGAGGGCTGGGGAGGAGCTCCAAGAGCCCCTGGGTATCTGACAGTAGGGGGTGTTGGGGGCTCCCTGGAGAAGGCAAAGCTAGACCTGAGACTTGGACTGTGAGTTTGCATGGACAAGTGAAGGCGAGGGGGGGGAGGGGGAAGGTGGGCCCATGCTGACTGTGATGGGGAGTTTTCTCTTCATTCCAAGAGCACTGGGATCCCCCTGAAGGGCTTGAAGCAAGGGGGTGGTTTGATCAGATCCATGCCTCTAAACACCCCTGTCCCTGTCCTATTTCCTGTGCCCCTTAGTGTGCTGCCAGTTGTCCACCTGCTGCCTGGTCCTGTTTACACTTCTGATTCCCAGGCCCCATCCTGGCATTCACAGTGCCCTTTCTGAATGATAGAACAAGCCCCCTGGCTTACTGGGACCCAAGCCCCTCATTGTGTAGATGAGGAAACTGAAGTACAGAGATGTAAAGAGAGTGTCCATTTTGGTATCCCAACCAGACTGGCATCCCCTCCTCCCATCCACATGACCCCCGCAATTGACCTTTTCTCTCAGTCCCCAAGGTGAAGTTCCCACCCTTAAATGGTTTGCTCAGGAAGAAAATGTACCAGTAAGTGAATTCATACTATAGTGTGAGTGACTGGTCACAGTTCTGAAGCCCTAGCCTGCTTAGGATGCCAGTGGACACCAGCATGGGAGTCGTCTGGTCTTGTTCCGGCCTATACCTTTCTCTCTTTCCCCACGCAATCCAGGCAACATCCGGGTGATTGCTCGTGTCCGGCCAGTCACCAAAGAGGATGGGGAAGGACCTGAGGCGACCAACGCAGTGACCTTTGACCCTGATGATGATTCCATCATCCACCTGCTGCACAAAGGAAAGCCTATATCCTTCGAGCTGGACAAGGTCTTCTCTCCGAGGGCCTCACAGCAGGATGTGAGTGTGGCTCTTGGGTAGGGGGTGGGAGGAAGGGACAGAGAGCAGTGGAGAGAGGGGGACACAGATAGACTCACCAGGAAAGGGACAGATGGTGAGGGGAGACAGAAAGAAGTGTGAATGGGGGAGACAGGATAGAGAAGCTTGGGTGCCAGGGTTCCCCTCTGGAGAGAAGAGTGTGGGAAGCTAAGACAGGGCTTTAGAAGCGTCTGTTGGGAAGGGGAAATCCATGCACAGCCCTTCCACCCATGTGGCTCCTCCCACTCAAATAGCCCCTCCCACCCATGGCCTCGCCTACCCTCAAAGCTCCGCCCACCAGCATGGCCCCTCCACAAGACCCTGGCCAGCATGGAGCCTGGTCCCTCCAGCCAGTGAGAGGCATGCAGTCTCAGCAGCTGCCCTTGTCTCATCTCTGCCAGGGCCAACCTGCCAGGCCTGTTTCGCCCGTGCTCTGCTGTCTCGGCCTGGCTTTACCTTTGCCCCTGTCCTCTGCCCACTGTCAGGCAGGCAGGCGGAGGAGGTGCCACACATGTGACTGGCCTCTGCCTTCATTTTGCTGTGCCTTCTGGGGGTGGAGGAGGGTCTCCTGAGCTCCAGGTGTTGGCAGGCAGTAAGCACTACCCTGCCTTCCCTTCCGTTTTTCGGCACCAGGTTACCACTGATGTCTAGTGCAAGTGACTCATTAGTCACGAATTGCTCCGCAGTGAGCCAGTTGTCCACAATAACATGCTGTATTATTGCTGAAGGAGACAGCTGTCAGGGGAGGTGGCTGGACTTGGAACTGGTGGGGGACCCTGGTCCTAGCAGCCCTGGCAGCCTCACACTCTACACCCATGTCCGCTCCCCAGGTGTTCCAGGAGGTGCAGGCCCTGATCACCTCCTGCATTGACGGCTTCAATGTCTGCATCTTCGCCTACGGCCAGACGGGTGCTGGCAAGACGTACACAATGGAGGTGGGTGCCCACTATAGGGGGCAGGGGTTCAGACAATGACAACCCCCTTGCTGCCATTGGTGGGGTTCTACGGGAGTGTGTTTTGGCCTCACTCGGTCTTCACAACCCCCCAAGTCACCAGGCCTGAAGAGGAGGCCCCTTGCCCAAGTGCACCTGTGATGGTCCCAGTGGGTACAAGAGGCGGGTGTCATGACAACAGACTAGCAGCAGAAGGATCTTGGCCTGAAGTGCAAGTCAGTCTCAGGACCAGCTTTCGTTGAATTACCCATATGCATTTATTGGGCTCCTGGTGGATGGCTGCCCCTTGCTGGGTGGGCTCTGGGGCTATCCAGATGGATGGGGGCAGGTGTCCGTCCTAGAGGAGATCCTGGGCAGTGAGAGAGACTGGTGAAGACTCTTGTGGAGCCTAGCTCTTACCTGCCACTCCCAGGGCGGGGCTTCATCTCCCTGCCAGTGGCTGTCCCCTCTTCATGGGGAACTGGGGCATCTAGAAGAGGAAGAGTCTTGACTGTAGGTAAAAATGGAAGGCTGGCCCCTGGTTGTCTTTGGTTTGTTAGCTCTTGAGGGGGTGCTGTGGGGCTTGCTGGGTAGAAGAGGAGGGCAAGTGTTCTGGTGTTTGGACAGGAGTGAGAGGGCCCTTTGGTGAGGGGCACCATCAAAGGGGAAGTGGGAGCCCCGGTGAGATTTCCTTTCAGGAAGGCCAGTAGCTCATCTGGCCCCAGGGCATTTGCCGGCTCCACTTGTGTCTCCCCTCTGCCCTGGCTCATGGCCTCCCTGACACTGGGCCCCATGTGGGCAGTAGCAGGGAAATCTTGGGTTCCTGATGCGTTTTCCAGGTGGCTTACCAGGGCCAGGTACACATCTGGTGCTCAGCAGCCCCTGTTTGATGTTCCCCACTGGGCATGTCACCTGGGTGCTCTGCTTTAAGTCTCAGGGCAGTCCTGACAGGGTAGTTCCATTTTAAAGGTGTGAAACTGAGGCCCAGGGAGGTGAATGAAGTTGCTTGAGGTGGTGGAGGGGCTTGGGAGGTAGACCAGCACTCAGATGGGAGTTTCAGGCAGGGAGGCTGGCCTGCAAGGGGGTAGCTGGAGGTGGGGGGGGAGGGAAGCACAGAGACCCTGTGAGCATCTGCACCGGCCACCCCTTGTGGTGGGAAGGGGCCCAGCTCACCCGGGCCTTGCTTCTGTCCTCAGGGGACCCCTGAGAACCCAGGCATCAACCAAAGGGCCCTGCAGCTGCTCTTCTCCGAGGTGCAGGAGAAGGCATCCGACTGGGAATACACCATCACTGTCAGTGCGGCTGAGATATACAACGAGGTCCTCAGGTGGGCGGCCCCCAGGGAGCCCTCAGGTGGGAGGCTTGCAGGTCTGAGGCCCTCAGATTTGAGGCTATCAGGTGGGCGGCCCTCAGGTTTGCAGCCCTGGTGTGGGCACATGCCTCCCAGGAAGCTTTGTGGTTCTCAGGACCATGTAGAGTCATGTGGGATGGGAAGTGGGCTCTCCTTGAAGAAGGGAGTTGGGGATTCTACGCCAGACTCAGCCAAGGGGCTCTGCTGGTCGCACGCCCCTCCCCCGACCAGCAGGCGGGGGAGGAGGGCTCTCTGCACCCCCCTGGGCCTCCCAGACTGAGGAGCTCCTTTTCCCCTGGAAGTGTCCTTGCTGCACCTGCAGGTTGCACCGGGTGGTGATAAGTGAGAGTGGGGGGCCCTGCCCGCAGGGGCCAGTGCATCCTCGGGCCAGGAGTAGCACCACCACAGGCCTTTTGGGGAACAGTTGGTCTCTGCCCTTCAGCAGACCGGGTGCAGGGGAGGAGCTGGAGGGAGAGGAGGAGGGGCTTAGCCCAGTGGTCCAGGGAGGCTTCGGAGGGTGTGATGATTGGGAGGGGGAACATTCCTGGCTTGGGCGAGGGAGGAGGGAGTGACTGTCCCCCACCCAACCCCCCACAGGGACCTGCTGGGGCAGGAGCCCCAGGAGAAACTAGAGATCCGGCTGTGCCCAGACGGCAGCGGGCAGCTGTACGTGCCAGGGCTGACTGAGTTCCAGGTGCAGAGCGTGGACGACATCAACAAGGTGTGGGGCT